CGTAGCTCCAGAGTTGGTAAATGGAGATGGCCTTGGAACTTTGGATTCTTGACTTAATTTCCTGGAGGTTTCTAGACACTGATGGCCTCAGGACCTGGATCATTATCTAGTCCTACAAAGGGGATGGCTGTCGAACCTGTCTCCTGCTCCACGCTTTGAGGCAAGCTTCAGCCATTTATCTTGGCGTTCTGCTAAGCTTCCAAGGAAATGGGATACAAGACTGATTTTTCTCCCATCCTCACGTTCAACTTGTAATTCGCCAATTCCAATGTAGCAAGACAGGTCTTGCTTCAGGGCAGAAGCACCTTGCAGGCCTTATGGACCAGCCTTCTCCTGAAGAGTGGTTTCTGGGGAGCTTTAATGAACAAGTCGTACACTGAGGGGAGGGCTCTGTAACACCCAAAGGGATGATGAACCACTCCTGTTACTGAGCCGAGCTATGCATGTTCGCAGCCTAAAGGGTCTTGAGCACAAGTGATGGGGCTGTCTTACTGGAATATTTATAATCCTAACGATACCAAAGCTTATAAACTACTTGCCACAGGCACACCCACCCACAGGACATTATTTGGTTTTTCACACGAATTGATATCCAAAGGCATTACTTTACTTACTCTCTCTACTAAGCTCACTTCATTTTTTTCTATATACTTCGTACTTGTTTTAAAAAGAATGCTAGGATTCTAGATATTTATTTTTGCACATAACAATCAAAGTGTGGTCTTTGCACAGAGCTAAGTGACAGTGACTACTATAAAAATTAGACCTCCAGGACACTCATGCCCATCCAAGTCCCAGAAGCAATTAACATCTAAAAAAGTCTGCCTTCATCCTCCTTGGCTAGACAGTGGTTCTCACTCACTCCTCTTCCACGCTTCTGTTTTTGTAGGACATGGTATGTCTACTATCCGGGCCTCAACTAGCGCTGTCAGAACTGGGATGGTTCAGCCGCCACATAGTTGGCACAGATTACCTAGTGTCTTAGTCCATTCCAGTCCATAACAAACTGCCAGACTGGGAGGTTTATAAAAACAGAAACTTACTTCTCACAGTTCTTTTTTTTTTTTTTTGAGAGATTTTCACTGTAGGGCGTGTGCGCTCGCCAGACAGACAGAGAGAGACATAGAGACAGAAAGCGAGAAATCACCCCCCAGGAGGGATGGTCACGCCGCAATCCCTTCTCCTCCATTCTCCTCTCGGGATCTTGGGCACGCACACACACGCGCCCGGCATGAGTTTTAAGCCACCGGGTCCGGGACACGAACCGTGGTCAACTACGTGGGAGTCCAGCGACATAGCCATTACGCTAACTGCTGGTTCCCCACAGTTCTTGATAGTCAGAAATCAAAGATCAAGTGCTGGCAAAGTGTTTCTGGTGAGGGCCCATTTCCTGGTTCAACAGTCTTCTGGCGGTGACATGGGGTCACTTCATCTTGACTCCCCTATTTTCCTTAACTGCTTAGTCTGAATAGCCTCTACCACAGCAGCTGTGTCCTCACATGAGGAAAGAGGTGAGCTAGTTTTCTGGGTCCCCTCCACACACTTCTCTTTACAGGACATAGGTACTCACCAGAGAGAGGGGGAAAATGAGAGATCACTCCCGAGGGAGAATGGCCACGCCACAATCCCTTCCACGTTCTCTCAGGATTTTGAGCACACTCACCTACGCCAGACATTTCCCAAGCCACCAGGTCTGGTACTGAGTGCCCAGTCAGTCATGGGGTATCCAGTTGCCTTAACTACCACACCACCTAGCTGGCCCCCTGGGGCCTCTTTCTTAAAGGCTCTAAGGCTGTTCATGAGGACTCACCCTCATGACCTGATCAATAACCAGAGGCTTCATCTACTAAGACCATCACACTGGAGATTAAGATTTCAACAGATGGATTGAGGGAGGGGGTGGGCACAAACATTTGGCCTACAGAAGCTACATAATATGAATAAAAAGTTTTCCTAAATACTTGTAGCATTTGTCACTTTTCCTTTAAAAGTAGTTGCCAGGGCCCCGATGGTGTCACAGCAGTAAAGCACGATGTTCTGTGAGGCTGATCCACGTGGGAAGGTTCCAGGGTAGCATCTGGAGACCTCCCAAGAACACTGGTTAAGTGCACGCCCACGTTCTGGGGCTGGCTGAAGCTGGGGGTGGATCATGGTACCAGGACCCTGCTGGGGCACTCTCTTTCTCTAAGATAGATGAATAAACTATGATTAAAAATAAAAGTTGCCAATTCAAGAATCCCCCAGTCCATTTATACCTAAATTAAGCATCTCTTTTCTCTTGAAACACACAAACTTGGAGGTAAAAGACCTACTTGATTGCTCGGTTTCCCCACACTCACCTGCAGAATCCCAATTCCATTTTTTTTTTTTAAAAGACTTTTGCTAGAAGGAGTGTGTGGTCACTGGAGACACAGGGAAACAGAGAGAAACCAAGAAATCATTCCCCAGTAGGGATGGCCTTGCCGCAGTCTCTTCTCCCCCATTCTTCTCTCAGAATTGTGGGTACCCACGCACATGTGCCCAATCTGAATTTCAAGGTACCGGGTCTAGGACTTGAATGGCAGTTGGCCATATGGGAGTCCAGTGCCACAACCCACTACACCACCTGCTGGTCCCCCTCATTCCATTTAAAAAGCGAATTTCTCAGAAAAATGGCTCAATAGAAATATGTTAAAGCAGTACCTCATTCGCATGGGTGAGGTGGAAGAATGCCTGGGGAGGAAGGAAGAACAGAGAATTGGCTGGCATTTTGAAAGGAAAAACACTACTTTTCTATCTATTGATAGAATTCATGTAGGTACATGTAGAGAAATGAACAGGTTTGTTTTGCTACTGAAATCAAGTGCTATGAGAAATTCTCACAATACACGTCAAAATTTTAAGTGAGCATAAATTTCAGACAAGAAATTCTATTTGTAAATTTATCACAAAATAATAATGAATCTGTCGAAGATGGAGCTATTTATATTAAATTGAGAATTAGTTAAATTACAATGCATCCATGTGAAATTGTGTTATAAACAGTGTAAACAGTAGGAGCATGCTCAAATGTTTGTTTAAAGGTATACATATATACATACATCAAGAAAAAGACTGAAGTGGACCAGCAGTTCAGTGAAAATTATTGCAGAAAGAATATTTAATGACCAGAAAAAAATGTTGGTGTATATTCCCATGTGAAATTGTGTTATAAACAGTGTAAACAGTAGGAGCATGATCAAATGTTTGTTTAAAGGTATACATATATACATACATCAAGAAAAAGACTGGAGTGGACCAGCAGTTAGCGTAATGGCTATGTCACTGGACTCCCATGTAGTTGAATGCAGTTCACGTCCTGGACCCAGTGGCTTAAAACTCATGCTGGGTCCGTGTGTGTGCGTGCCCAAGATCCCTAGAGGAGGATGGAGAAGGGATCGCGGTGTGGCCATCCCTTCTGGGGGGTAATTTCTCACTTTCTATCTCTCTCTGTCTTTCTGGCGAGCACACGCGCCCTATAGCAAAAACCTCTCCAAAAAGAAAGAGACTGGAAAATATTGTACTTCTGCATTCATTCATATTTTCTGTACTTTTTTTCACTTTTTTATAAGGAATGTGTATTATTTTTGGAATAAGAAGAAAAACGATCAACATTTTTTAAAAACATAAGACTCAATTTCATCTTATATGCTCAAAAAGGAACTAGAAATGGAAACTTAAAAAGATGAGTTCGCCCATCTTTGCCTATGGCCATACTTCCAAGAAAGCAGTTCCAGATGTTTGAGGTTTCCCTTCCTGGTTCTGTGGAGAAAGTTCTGCTACCCTTAGTTGGTCTCCAGGGGCGCAAACCCAGGGCTGCTAGCGTGGGCCACCAGGGGGCACTAGCATCCCTCCCTCTTCTCCCCAGTTTCCCTTTTGTCTTCCCTTCCCGGAATCTTTTTTCTGAGGCCTTTCACATGTCCCCTCCTTCAGTCACGATCACACAAACAAGCGCACTCATGTGCACGTACATGTACACACACACGCGCGCACGCACGCACACACGCACACACTCCCACGCATGTGCATGTGCAGTTTTCTGGCTGTTTGGAACTGGGCCATTTAGAAATCGGCTGTGGAGTAGAGCAAAGATCACAGGAAAGGTCTGAGTTCATCCTACCTCAACCTTTTATTTCTAGAACCAAGCAAAATGTGGACTTCTCCAGATCCACATTTTGTCCTTTAAAAAAGGAGCTTGTGGTGTTGGTATGGTGAGATTTAAAGACAGAGGGCCAGCAGGTGGCATGGTGGTTAAGGCACTGGATTCCATATGGCTGACTTTGTGGTTGGAGTCCCCGAACGGCGACTTGTAAAATACATGAACACACAAAACAAACAAACGCACCAGGTGCATGTGCATCCCAAATCTCAGGAATGGGGGAGAAGGGATTGCACCATGGCCATCCTCCTTAGGAGGAGAATGATCGCTCTCTCGGGCTTTCTCTCCAGCTCTCTCAGGCATGCATGCCCACATGTGAACATGCCTATGGCAAAAATTAAACACCAAAACAGGGACCAGCAGATGACTTAATGGTCACATGGCTGGACTCCCACATGACTGACCACTGTTTGAGTCACAGATCCGGTGCCTTGTGCCTAAAATCCTGAAAGGAGAATATAGAGAAAAAGTGATTGTGGCATGGCTATGACCCCTGAGGGGATGATTTCTCCCATTTTCTCTCTATGTCTGTCTCTCCAGTGAGCACACACACCCTATAGCAAAAATCTCTTAAAAAAAAAAAACAAAAAAAAAAAAGACACCAAAACTTCGCCAGATCCAATGGGTATTTTTTAAAGGACCTTTCACTGAGGTCTAAGAACAGTTTGTAAGTTACATCTTATTTCCCCAATCTTAATATAAGGGAATAGTAGTCCCATCAATACAAATAATTTACTTTTACATTGATGTAAGCAAATATAAAGTTCAGAAGAGAAAGCATTTAAGTGAAATAATATTACTTTTTTGTATTCTCTTCATGTAGTTTTGCTGGTGACTGGAATACACTCCAATAAAGAAATGACAAAGAAAATTAAGAGGCCCAAATTCAGTAAGTAAAATTCGCAATTTCTTGCTGGTATAGGCTTCTCTTTTGGGGAGTTATTACACTTGTTTTACATAATATAGGAGGTGGTTTTCTGTCTCTTTCCTCACCTACCTCATCCCAAAAAGGTAGAAGTCCTAATTTTCAGGTAAAAAGCACTAGAAAAATTCAAACTGCACAAAGACCAGCCGACACTATGTCTCCATAGCTAAGCAAGGATAGGCATTTACCTGCTACTGAAATGCACAATTCCCCATACCAGAACATTCAGTGTGGCTAATGCAAAGGCCCAGCTAACCTGTCTACCCTCCAACATGCCCTGTGGCAAAAAGGCAAATCTTCTCAGAAAAGCCCATGATATTCACACCCAGCCAAGTGGAAAGAGGAGAAATAAATTTCACTTTTGGGTGCTATAGCAGTTAAGATTAAGTGACAGAAAATTCAGAATAGCTGTTTATATGAAACCAAAGTTTTGTTTGTTTTCCTCTCTATCTTCATAGTCAGTTGGGGCTTTTATGAATGTGCTAGAACCTTCATGAACCCAGACTCCAGTCTTGTAATTCTGCCATTCTCAGTGTGTCTCCTGGTTCACTGTCCAAAATGGGTGTCAGTTTCACTCATCAAGTCTACATTCAGTCAATAAGAAGAGATGTAAAAGATCCCTCCAAAGATACATCCAGGCCCAGCCCATGGCCTGGTAGTTAAGGGAGCTGAATCTCACATGGCCAACTGTGTGGTTCAAGTCCCAGACCCAGCAGTTTGAGAAATACTCCAGGCATATGTCCATGTATGCCCCAAATCCCAAAATGTGAGATAAATGAAGGAAAAGGGATTGTGGCCTGATCATGCCCCATGGGAGTACTCTCTCCTTCTCTCTTCAGTGAGCACGTACACTCACTTATATTTACACTGTAAATATAAACAAAAATCCAGAAAATTCTACCTAAATGCCATTGGCCAATAGAGAAGGAGAATGAGAAATGTCTTGATTTCAAACATCCGTGTACCTCGCTAAAAGAAAGGCAGTAACAAAAGAAGGGAAGAACGAGTACTTGGAAATAAAAAGCCACAGATGGGAACTCTCACACTCAAATACTATGAGCACACTGGAGGCTCGATGGGAGCTTAAGTGAGGTGTGTGTATATCAGACCATTAAAGAAAGGTTTTAGATACCGCCCCTGATCTGTGCTCTCCACAACTGAAGCCTTCCTGCAGCATTAAGTTCAGGTGCTTTAAAATCTGCAACAATACATGATTTGGAATAAGAGAGATTTGCTTTACACCAACTGTTCTTTTTTGTTCTGCCCCTTTAAACCCTCCGTGTGAGATTTCCTGTTGAAAGGAGACCAAAAGGGCAGCTATCCACAGCCTCCTAGGCTGAAATACTAAAAAGGAATCAGTTGTTTATTTATTCCTGTCAGAACCAAGAGCCAAGAGGACTGGCTCTGGGGCAGATGTGTGTTCAAAACAATGATTGGGTTAATATGGAGACAAATGCACGCCCAAGTATAAATTCCTTTGGGCTGTTTCCAGCATCTTCATTAACTCATATACAAAAATCATGAAAGGTTCCATGATTACCATGACAACAGTTTTCAGTGACTCTGAAAGTCTGTGCTAAATGACCCAAGGGCAAAACTCTTTAAGAGATCTCAGATGGATTGAATTTCTGATATGCTGAATTCTGCCTTATTCTCAAAAAATCTCCCTAGTGATGCAGCACATTTAAATCAATAAAGGCATGAGGCCTTTTCTCTAATTAGAAACTCTGGCACAATCATTAAGTAAGGGGGAAAAACTACAATGAAGGTAATGGGATATTCCCCAGTCATGGAGCTCTCGGATTCTTGACCTCAGGAGTATTTCTAAATTATAGTCTATAGCTTGAGGCCAAAGTAATGTTAATTTTCTATCCAGTGTTCTCAGTCTGATGCTGGTACAGGTGACTGATGGGAAGGAAGGAGCATCGTTCACTTATTTGACAAGGATTTATCAGTTTAGATCAAGCACCAGGTGCTGTGTTAGATACCCGAATACAATAGCAATCAAGACCGTCGTTGCCCCCACAGAGCTCGCAGCCTTCTGGGAAAGACACACAGGTAAATAGGCAATTATAATGTCATCTGTAAGTGTTAGGGTATGGGGAGCTAAAGATACTTGATTTGGAGAGGCTTTTGCCTTAGGGTGTGTGCATTCGCCAGAGACACACACAGACACAGTGAGAGGGGAAGTGAGAAATCACCCCCCTGGGGGGTGGGGGTAATGGCCACACCACAATCCCTTCTCCTTCATTCTCCTCCTGGGATCTTGGGCACACAAGAACACATGCCAGGCATGATTTGGAAGCCACTGGGTCTGGGACTCAAACCATGGCCGGCCATATGGGAGTCCAGCAATGTAATTGCAACACCATCTGCTGGTCCCAAGGTACTTTAAGAATATGAAGAAGCTGTGTATCTGGGAGGGCTTCCAGGAGGAAATGACAAATCTACATCCCAACTAGGGATTGACCAGGCAACAATGAGGAGAAAAGAAAGGTACAAGCAGAAGGACTCACTGTGGTCAAGGCCTGGAAAGTGGAAATAGAAAGGACTAAGTAGTAGTTCAATATAGCTGAAATAGAATAGGGGGCGAACATGTTAAGGGAAAATAGAGAGTTAGCAGGCACCAGACTGTGTTCAGGATTCTGGACTTCATCGTGAGGGTAACGGGGAGTTACCATAGATACAAAATAATCTCAGTGCTGCTTATTTTGATCACATTTAGAAGCTCAAGGCCAATATGATTAAGCAACAAAGGAAACTTAGGCACGACTTGGAGTAGTTGGCAGAACCCAAGACAGGAAGCTGCAATGCTCCAGGCCTAGACCCCAGATAGAAAGGCCACAGGAACTGGCACCTCTGGTTCTCTGTGTCCGTCTCTTTCTCTGCCATGTCTCTCAGTCATACCAAACTCCTGGGAATTAAAATCTAGTATGACTCAGACTAGACTGGCAGAGGTTCACCCCTATGAAGAGTATATAGTCCTCAGAGAACAGGGTAGTGGTCGCGGTTGCCTTCGGGAAATTAGTAATAAACCCCTTTGTACCAACACATAAAAAGACGGAGCACGATTTGTTAGCGAGGAAGCAGAATGGACTTGCCTGCACATAGTAGGTGGCACAAAATTGTCTACAAAGTCCGGAGAGAATTTCACACGTGTTTATATGGCAAGGTGGAAGACAGGACAATGGTCATTTCTCTTGTCTCCCAGAGAGATAAGTGGACACCCCTCATGATTGTCTCCTGTATACCCAGAGACCCCTGGAGCTCATTCCAGAGGGAAGTGTTTACTATCTAAGGGTCAGAGGCCGAGACATTGCAGTGTGAAGTCAGCCTACTATGCCTTCAAGGAGACTCCCTGAGAGGAGAGGGCCAGGAGGCAATGACCTCCCTTGTCCCCACTAAACAAAGGAAGACTGACCATCTTTACCCTCCCAGTTGACATCTCAAAGCGCATCTTACAAGGAATCACTGAAGGACTTAAAACAGAAGGTGGAATTGTAAAAGCAGAGCTTTCACAACTCACTGCGGCTTCAGCACGAGAGTAAACTAGGCCAGTGGTTCTCCAAGTGCGGTGCCAGGAAACACACTTGGGGACCTTTTGCCCCACTCACTCTCTACAACCCGAGTCAGAAACTATAAAGTTTGAGCCCAGTAACTTATGTTGCAACAAGCTCTCCTAGTGATTCTGGGACCTTGTAAAATCTGGGACTTGAAGTACAGAGAGAACCAAGAACAGAGCTTACAGATGTGGATGTGAAGCATTAGGTAAGCTCTTTAGTGCCTTCACATTCCACTGGTGGTTTTTCAAGACAAAAAGTCTTCACAACCCAAAAGACTAAAGGCAAAAAGGTAAGGGGGAGGTAATTTGGTAATGTTGGGCAGTGGACAATTTCCTGACCCCTACTACATCGCGGCACTATGTTGGACTCCTGGGATCTAATGCCCAAGGCACGGTGTAATTAGCTGGCAGCGCAGATGCTAAACTCAAGTCTGGCTGAGGTTCAGTCCCAGATGTTTTCCCAATGGCCTCTGACCAAGGTGGGTGGACTAAGCAATGAGGCACCCGTTCCCTGGGGATAGATGAGGGCCTTGGATGGTCAGGGGATGGCTAAGTAGACGCTAAAAGAGAAGAGATATGGGAACATAGGGGAAGACGAGCACAAGTGTCCTTAGGCCTGGCTGGAGAATGTTCGCCATCCAGCGCATGCCTTCTGCCTACTCACAGGGTTACCATTGCTTTGGGGAGTTAGCACTTCTATTTTCCTTTTTCCCCCTCTATTCATGATAGGGCACTTGGGCACACGTGTGAGAGGGAGAGAGAGGGAGATAAGCGCTCTCCACAAGGTCTGACCGTGCCACAATTCCCTTCCTCCAGTCCATTGGTCCTGGGCACCCGTGTGTGTGCCCAGCATGTTACAGGCTGACCTGGCCGAGGGTTCAAACCAAGGTCACCATGTAGGCTCTGGCTTTTCTTGAGCAGCATGTCACCACAGAGCCTGCCTCTCCCTTCTTTTCTTCTTTTCCTCAACCCTTTTTCTTTCCATTTCTCTCATCTGCCTCTGGCGCCCTGTGCTCCTTCTGGCCATTGCTTAGCATCAGTCAAGGCCCTTTGGATGAAGGGGGAGTACTTAGGACCATGTTGAAGATAACCCAGTATGGGGGTTCTACAAAGTGGAAAAGCCAAGAGGGGAAAACAACTGGACGGATTCTCACAGCTCTACTCTCCCAGCCCATTCACAACCATTCATTCCAAGCTAACACTTTGCTTTCGTGTACTTATACTGAGTGCAATTTTATTCTACCACATTTGGCTTATAACATTTTCTATATTAAATCAAACCCGACTCCAAACTATCAATTGCCAGGAAAGGAGGGGGAAAGTTCACAATTTCAAGGGCTTTCTCCCTCCCTGCTCACCAGCTGCTAGAAGGCTTATACAGTCTAGAAGATTCAGGGAGGTC